TAACTCAAGCTCCCTTTCTTCTTTTAGAAACCCTGCGTTCAGAAATGGACACCTTTAATGGTAAGTATGGTGATGGCAGAATGTGCTTGCCAGGGGTTACTGTGATATTCCCTACACTGTTGATTTCTGGGCATTATTTAGAAGAGAGAAAAACATCTGTAACAAAGGCAGAAGAAAGCCTTCACAGGCTCTGTGCTGGACTTGTTGGCTGGGTCAACTCATCAGACCACAGAGTCACCAAGGCAGTCTCCAGGGTCTAGGAGGAGTGGGGTTAATCCAAGCAAAGGAAGCAAGGTCCTGAGCTGGGGTAGGGGTCCTTGTCTTTCCTTGTTGTGGTGACGAGGGTACATTTAGCCTCTCTGAATTGGAATACTCAGGTTTTTCCCCACATCTTCTTTTTCTCTGTAGTTCCAGAACTGATTTGCGCTCAGGCACATGCCGGTAAGTGCCCAGACTAAGGCGAGTGGACTTCCCTGCTGGGTACCTGTGCTGAACTCTAGTGCATTCCAGAAGACTGTCCCTATCCATGTTTCCTGGAGGTGGGGAGAACCCTGTGGGTACACTGCCCATGCAACCCCAGCTAGGTATTCTAATTCTTTCTGCAGTTAATGTGATTCTGGATGCAGAAACTGCCCACCCCAACCTCATCTTCTCTAATAACCTGAAGAGTGTGAAACTTGGAAACAAGTGGAATCGTCTGCCTGATAATCCAGAAAGATTTGATAGTTGCATCATTGCCCTAGGCCTTCCAAGCTTCCTCTCTGGCCGCCATTACTGGGAAGTGGAGGTGGGAAACAAGACAGGGTGGATCCTGGGCATCTGCAAGGCATCCGCGAGCAGGAAAGGGAGCATGACTCTATCACCCGACAATGGCTACTGGGTGGTGATGATGATGAAGCGGAATGAGTACCAGGTGTCCACCATTCCCCCAACACGCTTGCAGATAAAGGAACCCCCCAGACGTGTGGGCATCTTCCTGGACTACAAGGCTGGAGACATTTCCTTTTACAATGTAACATACAAATCCCTCATCTACACATTCACCAGTTTCTCTTCTTCTGGGCCCCTTCAGCCTATGTTCAGCCCTGGAACACATGATGGAGGGAAGAACATGGATCCTCTGACCATCTGTCCAGTGGGTGACCAGGGGACTCACTGAATGCCCAACACTTTGCATCTCTCTTCTGGATCCCAGCCTTGTATCTTGAATCTGTACACTCAATGGTCATTATTGAACACCTACTGGGTTCCAGCTGCTGTGGGTAATATAACAAAGAGAAGAGTGCCTGTGCCCAAAGAGCCTATGGAATGGTAGCAGAAATAAGCTGGGTACCTAAATATTGGTAAGCCAAGGGTGAAGAGAGCACATGTACTGATGACACCTCAGAGGAAGAAGTACATGGCTGATGCTTAATAAATCCTTGTATGAATTAGCACCCTAAGATGCCCCTAAGGCAGAGATCTCACCTTCATTTTCCCTCAGAACTCTATGGCAAGGATGTGTCGCTTCATCCTATCCCCCTGTTTCTTAAGGACTTGCAAAGCTGAGAAATAAAACAAGCAGACTGGATTGTTATATTTTTGTACCTGGATTAATGAGCTATGGATATTAAGAGTATTGGCTAGGCATCATAAATAAATCAATTAGAAAAGTTGGTCATAATTGCACTCAATTTGCACTCAATTTGTTGTCACTTAGTCAATCATTGTAAGATCCCATTTCCCTACTGAACACCATGAAAAAGATGGTGCTGCTATAGTGGGAAAAAATTTGACAAATATTCCAAGTATCAGATTTTTTTAAAATTCTGTCCTGATCTGTATCTGAAAATCTATTCTAGTTCAAAGATATCCCCTCTATCATCCCCCATTTAAAGAGATGTAAAGAGAAAGGATGTAAGGGGAAAAAAGGAATCAGATGAAGATTAGGCTCCAAACCCCTCTTACCCCAACTCATCTTTCCATCTTCACACTAGATTCTAGACTGGACTCAGCTTCTCCATGATTGTGGCCCTGGTTTCTTCATGGAGCTTTGTTCTATGAATATAATCCATACCCTGACAGAGTTCATGTGCTTTATTTGCTTAGCTGTTCCCAATTCTCCCTTGCTATAACCTTTCCAAGAGCAGCTTCCTGTATTTTTTCCACCACCTCCCCATACACATTTTTTTCTCCTGTTATTCCTAAAATGGCTCCAGAATGTGAACTATTTCATAACACTTGCTACAGTTGGTCATACAATCCCTCAGAAAGATTAAATAATGTTTTACGCCCAAAGCAATGTTTGTCATTTAAAATATTTTGCTCATCTGGGGCTCCTGGGTGGCTCAATCAGTTAAGCGTCTGCCTTCGGCTCAGGTCATGATCCTGGGGTCCTGGGATCAAGCCCCGCATCAAGCTCCCTTCTCACCGGGGAGTCGGCTTCACCCTCTGACCCACCCCCCTCTCGTGCTCTGTCTCTCCCAAATAAGTAAAATCTTTAAAAAAAATAAATTTTGGGGGGGGCGCCTGGGTGGCTCAGTCGTTAAGCATCTGCCTTTGGCTCAGGTCATGATCCCAGGGTCCTGGGATTGAGCCCCACATTGGGCTCCCTGCTCCGAGGGAAGCCTGCTTCTCCCTCTCCCACTCCCCCTGCTTGTGTTCCCTCTCTTGCTGTGTCTCTCTCTGTCAAATGAATAAAATCTTTAAACAATAATAGAAAATAAAATACAATAAAAAAGTAAAATTTATTGTTCATTCAATAGAGATATAATGGGGTTTTACCTATGTTTTAATTTATTTCATCATCTATTAGTGAGGCTGTGAATTTTCCATGCGGACTTCTATCTTTTGCTTCATTCCACAGAAACAGCACAGCTTCTTTGACTACTTGCTATGTGTAATCTAAATATTGAACTTAGTTGTCCGTAGTACTTCTTCAAAAGTATTTTATTATTTTTAAAGTTTTATTTATTTGTCAGAGAGAGAATACAAGCAGGGGAACAGCAGGCAGAGGGAGAAGCAGGATCCCTGCTGAGCACGGACCCCAATGCAGGACTCCATCCCAGGACCCTGAGATAATGACCTGAGCCAAAGGCAGATGCTTAACCCACCAAGCCATTCAGGCGTCCCTCAAAAATATTTTAGATACTAAACATTTGTATTTGTACATTGAAAATTTCCCTGTCTGGTGTTTCTTTTTTTAATTGAGTTATAATTCACAAACCATAAAATTCACCCTTTTAAAGTGTATAGTTAAATGGGTTTTAGTATATTCACAATGTATACAAACATCACCACTAAATCCAGAACATTTTCAAAACAAGCCCTGCGTCCATTGGCAGTCACTTGTCACTCTCCCCTTCCCCCAGCCCCTGACAACTACTACCATACTTTTTGTATCTATGGATTTGCCTATTCTGAACATTTCATGCAAGTAGAATCACACAGTATGTGGTCTTCTGTGACCGACTTCTTTCACTTGGCATCATGTTTTCGAGGTCCATCCATGTTGCAGCATGTATTAGTACTCATTCCTTTTTTATTGCTGAATAATAATCCGTTATATGGATATACTACATCTTGTTTAGCCACTCATCAGGGTTTTTTTTTTTTTTTTTAAGATTTTTGAGAGAGAGAGAGCATGAACGGGGGGCGGGCGGCAGGGGTGGGGCAGAGAGAGAAGCAGACTCCCCAGAGATTGGGGAGCCTGATGTGGGGACTTGATCCCAAGACCCTAAGATCATGACCTGAGCTGAAGGCAGATGCTTAACCGACTGAGTCACTCAGGTGCCCCAACATTAATGTTCTTTTGTCTTCTCTTATTGGTTATCAAATTCCATTTTTTTGTATATAGTATAAGGACACATTCTGTCTTTCCAGAAGAATAGACAATTTTTTGCTAGCACCATCTATTTTACACTAAGTTGAAATACTACCATTTCATATAGACCCAGGTACATTCAGATCAACTTTGGCACTTACTACTCTTTTCTACTGTTCTATTTATTTACTTCCAGTTCAAACCATACTGCTTTAATTGAAAGAGGTTTTTTTTTAAGATTTTATTTATTTATTTATTTGACAGAAAGAGACATACCGAGAGAGGGAACACAAGCTCGGAGAGTGGGAGAGGGAGAAGCAGGCTCCCTGCTGAGCAGGGAGCACCATGCGGGGCTCAATCCCAGGACTCTGGGATCATGACCTGAGCCGAAGGCAGACGCTTAACGACTGAGCCACCCAGGCGCCCCTGAAGGAGTTTGTTATTGTTTGCTTTGTTTTTGGTTTTTGATGTCTGGAAAAGCAAGTATCCTTAATTTTAGAAAAACTTTTGGTACCACACAGTTTTGACACTAGACTGTAACATATTTTAAACCATGGCTAAATGAGTCACCTATAGTTAGCGTTAAGAAAAAAAAAATCCATTCGTATTTTTACTTTGGTCACCCAGGTGGAACCTGGCGTTACATAGAGCAATAAAGCAATCCCTGCCCCAGGGTTGTCACAACGCTGATCAGTGCCTCACTGGGGAATGAACTGAGTATGGCAACAACGCAGAGAGACAGGGCGGTTCGGCCTCCCTGAGAGGCTGAGGACGGAAACGAAGGCGACTGGAGAAGGATCACTAGGATTTCTCAGAAAACAAGATGGCCCGTTCAGACTGCAAGGTAGAAGCTGGCAAGCGGGGAAGGGAAGGGTCACCCGGTTCTGACCTATGGGCCGCCCTCACCGGAAGGGACAGCTGTGAAAGGACCCAGAACCAGGCATACACCTTGATCCGCCACCCAACCACCGCTTCAGCGGTTCTTCGACCCACCCTGGATGCTGCAGCGGAAACAGCCGCAGCCTCTCGCGATCTTCCGGTCGCGAGTAGGCAGCCTACTTCCGGTCGAGCCCGGGGAAAGCGGGGTGGGGTGAGGGTGGGACTGTCCCGCCCCAACCGCCGCGCCTGGCGGCCTCCCATTGGCTGTTTGGAGCCGAACTACATTTCCCAGCAGGCCATGGAGCTACACCGCCAGTACCTGGAGAGGAGCCAGCCCGTCATGGAGGATTGGAGCCAAACTTCTGCTTTCCGTCTCCCAGATAGAGCCATAGAAACAGCGGTTGCCTCCAGCCTGTTCTCCCTCTGGCGCTGAGAGCTCTGCCTGTCGTCCTCGAGCATCGCCTTCTCAAGCGCAGCCTGCCGGCTCCGAGCGGGGAGACCAGGCTTCCGAACCGGAAACAAGGCACCGGTTGTGACGTATCGGCTACGGAGGCGCCCGGCTTCCCAGAAGGCACCGTGTCCTGGCCGTCCTCCCCAACTGACGGCTCCTCACGCCAATAGTCACCGGCGGCCTGTGAGGACACTCGGAAGGGCGAGGGGAGGGCTCGGCCTCTCGCGCCTAGTTTCCCGGTCTCTGCGCCAGGGTCTCTGGGCCGTCCCCTACGAGCGCCCAGGGGCGGCAGAGCCCCTGAGAGGTGAGGGGCTCCGCGAGGGCGGGAACCAGGCTGAGGTGGCCTGCGGGGAGCAGAGCTTGGTCCGTTGCCTGGGGAGCCTGGCCGGCTAGGGAGCCGGGAACGTACCCCGGGCAATGCCGCCGCCTGGGCTTTGTGTTAAAGGTACCCCTTGGCCGGTGGGAGAGGCTCCAGAGTGGGCCTGTTCAGCTGGGCCCCACTGTTTGGTCCCTCGCCGCTCTCAACAGGGCTTTCATGGCGGAAAGGAGTCAGCAGGTCGCGTATGGACTAATCGTGCGGCCTTGCGTTTGCTCCTTGAGCCATCAACTGCCCCCCGAAGGGCATCCGAGGGACCCGCGGTCCAAGGTGCGCAGTACGGCTTCATTTAATGGCTAGGCCAACTTCTAAGCAGATGCCCTTGGTACTGGATAGCAGGTTTCTTACCTTCTGGCCCATTGCTCTTCCCAGTGGAGTTTGCACTTCATATTTCTCAGGAGGATGATCCCTGGGGTTTGGATATCCTCTGGCTTTCGTTCTCAGAGCTTCCTCTCAGGCCTTGCTATGAGTGTCTAGTTCAGCGACCTTCCGTTTCAGTTAGGAGTTCCTCACACCAACTTATCTTTCCTTCCGCTTTAAATTTCACGTGGCCTCACTATCCTGGCCGTATATTGGACCTGGTTTTGTGGGTAAACCATGGTTTCTCTCATCTGCAGCTCGGCTCTCTGACAGATTTCCTTCAGTAAGAGGTGACTCCTGAAGCTCTGCAAAACGAGTGTGGTGTGTGATTGCAAGGCGTGATGGCTGCAAAAGTGGTTCCAATGCCCCTAAAGCCAAAGCAGTCCTTTATACTGAGAGTTCCTCCGGACTCCAAGCTGGGCCAAGACCTACTTCGAGATGCTACTAGTGGGCCCAAGACCATCCACCAGCTGGTTCTGGAGCACTTCCTCACCTTCTTGCCCAAGCCAAGCCTGGTCCAGCCCAATCAGAAAGTCAAGGAGACCTTGGTTATTATGAAGGATGTGAGCTCAAACTTTCAGAACAGACGTAAGGAGCACATGCTGTTTCGCTAGAAGAGAAGGGAATGGTACTAGGGGCTGAAATAGGTTTTTATGTTAGTAACGAATTCAAGTTAGGATAGTGGGTATTGAAAAAAGTTGATTTTAATGTCAACCTGTTGAGGAGAGGGAGTATTTTTTCTCAAGCTGGAGTTTGAGTGGATTGCTGGGTGTGTATAAACCCATAAAATAAACAGTGTCAGTTTTACCCAAACTTTGGGAGGGTGTATATCATTTTAGGATAAAGAAACGTGGATGAATTGTTGAATTGACTGCAGTTTATGTGGAATTTTGGAAATTTTGTGCATGTTGTGGGCATCTTCAGACATGATCCTCCTCCAGCCTTCCCTTGAGTAGTAATGGGAATTTTAAAAGTTCTTAAGATAATCATTCTTTTCATAATGAGGAGACCCTATATAGGTTCAAGACCCTGTGGTTTATGGCTTGAACTCTTCCTGGGCTCACAGAAGCAGCAAAAGCCGTAAGTTGCCTTCAGAAGGAGTGAGGACAGTGTGGCCTTAAGGTGTGGTTAGGGTTCCCATATTAGAGTCACTGATTTTTCCATTAACTACAGCTTCCTCTTTACCCAGTGCAACCTCATCCCATGGTGAAGCTTCTGCCCAGAGAAGGAATCCAGCAGAAACAGGACCCAGTGTCTCTGTATTTGAAAACTGAGCCTGAGGTGGGTTTGGTTTTCCCATTCACTGTTTTGAGTACATCACCTTCTCTGCTCTTTCAGCCCTCCCTGCTCAGCCAACCCATGTATAAAAACACACTCTTGGGGGGTACCTGGGTGGCTCAGATGGTTAAGCGTCTGCCTTTGGCTCAGGTCATGATCCCAGGGTCCTGGGATCAAGTCCCACATCGGGCTCCCTGCTTAGCAGGGAGTCTGCTTCTCCCTCTGCCTCTCTCTCTCTCTCTGTCTCTCATGAATAAAAAAATAAATAAAATAAAAACACACTCTTGGGAGTCAGTAGGAGAGTGGGCTTGTTTTTCACTGCCTCCTTGGCTATTTCTGTTCTGCTTGTCCTCTGGCTCCTCTCCGAGCCTGGCTCTCTGGTCCGTGCTGCACCTGCGTGGAGCTTATAGTCCCCTTTCACCTTCCCTTCCCTGATCATTGGGTTTCAGTCTTTTTTGCCAGCAGAGCTGTCAAAGAACCAAAGAACCTCTGTTATTAAGAGGAAGGGGGCCTAATTGCTCTTTCAGGAACTGGTGGTCCTTGAGGATTTGAATATATTTCATTCCCAAGAAGAATGTGTGAGCCTGGATGCTACTCAACAGCCCACCTCAGAGAAGGAAGACAATGTTGGGGAGATGATGTTACTGGGTAAGAAATCTTGTGTGTTCATATTGAATGCTGTGGAAAAAGCACATTGTTCTGTCAGACTTTTTATTTTTTTTATTTTTTAAAGATTTTATTTTATTTATTTGAGAGAGAGAGAGAGAGCACAGGAGAGGGTAGGGTGAGAGAGAGGAGCAGACTCCCCACTGAGCAGGGAGCCCAATGCGGGACTTGATCCCGGAACTCCGGGATCATGACCTGAGCCGAAGGCAGTCGCCTAACCAACTGAGCCACCCAGGTGCCCCTTCTGTCAGACTTTTTAAAGACCTGATTAACACTAGCTAAGTACATGGTCACACACATTTAATTTTTGTTCTATCCCATGTGGCAGAGCCTGCACCAGCTGTGGCAGTCATTTTTCCTATATCTTTAGGGCAGCAGGGGCTGAGGAGACTTGTCTCGGTAAGCAAGACCTGCAGCTGATGTACTGACGTCAGATATTCAAACAGATAGAAAATGCAGGCAGATTGTTTCTGAGTCCATTTTCTGGATTTAGTGCTAGTCCCCCAGGAGGTGTATTTAAATGTGTTTTCATTGGACCCAGGACTCTTTTAAGTCTTTTTTTTCCCCCTTGATGTCTAGTAGCTGTGAAGTCTACTAGTGTGAATGAAAATATATCCCATGTTGATGGCAATAATATCTAGCACTTATTAAGCACCCATGTGCCATTATGTACGAGGCACTAGTCTGTTTTGCATGCATTTATTATCACATACATTTTTCACAAAAGTACTGTAGAATATAGGAATTATTACTATTTTACAGATGACAGAACTGAAGCAGAAAAATGTTAAGAAATTGCTGAAGTTCGGGCAATCCTCTCAGGTCCCCTTCCTCTTCAGGAGCCTCGTACTATTGCTCAATAAACTTTGCTTTCCTTCCCACCAAAACACACACACACACACACACACACACAACACACACAAACACACAAACAGAAAAGAAATTGCTAAATGTTACAAAGCAGTAGGTAGCAGAGCAGGGATTTGGACTCAGAGATTCTAACATCAGAGCTTGCAGTCTTAGCCCAGAATTATACTGCCTTCTTGCTGCATTTCTCATAACTTTTTCGGTGAATTGCCTATATGGTTGGTGAATGGGGCCTTCTTCATTTGTGCTTATTTCCCAGTAATGGTTAAAAAGTATTGTTTTGTGAGACTACATATGAACTCATCTGGCAGCAGCTTCTCTGTAAGCTAAGAGATGATTCAGCCTTTTTCTACAAATGCACTGCTAACCTAGAGTCAGGAATCCTCAAAAATCATTTTGCTGAGTGCTTAATACTTTTTACTTTGCCTTCAGGGCTGTTTGCTTCTGAGGCTGAAGTGGAACAGAAAGTAGGTTTTGTGAGTTGCTGGGGTAACAAAAATCAAATCCATGACTGTCGAACTCTGTAGTTGTCTTACATTGTGTGGTCAGGGTAGTGTGGTACATAGCCTGCTTAATTTCTCAAGTTATTCTATGTAATATTTGTTTAAGATTTTGTATATTATAGGGTGCCTGGGTGGCTCAGTTGGTTAAGTGACTGCCTTCAGCTCAGGTCATGATCCTGGAGTCCTGGGATCGAGTCCCACATTGGGCTCCCTGCTCAGTGAGGAGTCTGCTTCTCCCTCTCACCCTCTTCCCTCTCGTGCTCTCTGTCTCATTCTCTCTCAAATAAATAAATAAAATCTTAAAAAAAAAGATTTTGTGTATTATATATATATATGTGTGTGTATACACACGTTTATTTATTATTTTATTTTTTATTTTTTTAAGACTTTATTTATTTGAGAGAGAGAAAGAGAGCACATGAGAGGGGGGAAGGTCAGAGGGAGAAGCAGACTCCCCGCTGAGCAGGGAGCCCGATGCGGGACTCGATCCTGGGACTCCAGGATCATGAACTGAGCCACCCAGGCGCCCCTATTTATTATTTTATTTATTGTAAACTCTACACCCAACATGGGGCTCCAGCTTACGACCTGACAACAAGCATGCTCTACCAACTGAGCTAGCCAGGCAACCCTAATATTTTCTTATTTTAGAGATAAGCATAAACAGATTTATTACACTGAGTTTTTCTCAGTCTTGGGTAAAATTAGCATATATTTTAGGTGACTGGTTGGTGGGTATGTTGCCAATTCCAGGAACACTTTGGTCATGGACCTTGAAACTCTCAGGCCCAATCCTCACCCATATGCAAAAGCTGATGATTTAAACCAACATTTAATAAATGCTACTTGCTGTGTCCTTAAGTAGAGTTGGATTCTGGAGTTGATTATCAGTGGGTTCAAACGATACATAGTGCCCCATTCCTGCCCTCTAAAGCTTCCAATTTGTTTTTAAAAGATAAGTCGTTCACATAAAAAGATAAGCATT